CGCTTAACATTGCTGCCAACCAGGTTTCCAAGAGCGCACTAAGCATGTTGAGATGGACTGTATTTTTTCCAGGAGCGTGTCTAGTCTGCAGATGAGCCTGCACTTCTTTTCACAAAGGGATTGAGCGTTGACCAGTTTCATCATCTCTTTGTCAAGCTCGAACTTCTTGACATACACTCCTTCGCTTGAGGGGGAGTGTAGTGATTTCTAATTAGTCACCATTCATTAATTTAAGGGTCACTTTGTTATTTTCCCTCCTTCATGTTGCACGAGAATAGGAGGTAGGGTATTCCCTCCTACAAGTACATCTAACGGCTAGATCACGCGGAGTATACTATACTTCTGGAGTATAACAGTCATTACCATATATATTATATGGTGGCTACTTCGGTGCACTCACTTTTTTGGGTGCATTCTCTAAAAGTTGTCATAGAAAATTGAATTTTAATTAGTAGCAATTATCTAATACGAGATGATATAATATAGAATCACCCCTAACCCCTTAACCTTTAATTTTGAATCTCAATCTAAAATCCCAAATTGCAAACCTAAACCCTAACCCTAATTCCCCAAACCCTAAATCATTCAAATTAAAGTAAATCTTGAATGATTTTTGTACCATTTCATGTGTTTTCTTGTTCATCATACCACAAGTGACGATTTACATCATTTTCGCATGAATCGCTTGACCAGAATGACGATTATGAGGCGGGTGCATTGAATGTACCCAGAAAAGTGAGTGCACCGAAGACGCCACCATATATAGAGTATCAGGCTAGCGTATGCCAGACGTACGCTTAACTTACTATACGCTAGCGTTCACACCTTTTTTTTGTACTTTGATAATTTCGACGAATCACAACCGTTGATTTTCATTTTAAAATTAAATGAATTTTATGATTTGGGTTAGAGAATTGGGGACTCGGGTTCACCCATTAGAGGTTAGGGTATAGTAACTTGCCCCAAACTCCATTTAATTCATGCTCTAAATATATATATATATATATATATATATATATGGTGGAGCCTTCGGGGCACCCACTTTTTTTGTGCATTCAATGCACTCGCCTCATAATCGACATTCCGAACATGCGATTCATGTCAAAACGGTATCAATTATCACTTATGATATTATGAACAAGAAGCACATGAATTTGAAAAAAAAATTCATTCAAGATTTACTTTAATTTGAAAGATTTAGGAATTTTGGGTTTAGGGTTAGGGTTTAGGTTTACAATTTGGAATTTTGGGTTGGGATTCAAAATTGAAGGTTAATGGGTTAGGATAATAGATTGATTAGTTGTGATTCTATGTTATATCATTATATTAGACTGACACTACTAATTAAAGTTTAAAATTTCACGTATTATTGCTACTTTTAGAATTGGGTGCATTGAATGCACCCAAAAAAGTGAGCGCGCCGAACTAGCCCTATATATATAGTGGCGTAATCGGTGCATCCACTTTTTTGAGTGCATTCAATGCACTCGCCTTGTAATCGTCATTTCGAGCATGTGATTCATGTCAAAACGATATCAATCGTCGCTTTATGATATTGTGAACAAGAAACACATGAATTTACAAAAAAAAAAAAGCTCATTCAAGATTTACTTTAATTTGTCAGGTTTATGATTTAGGGATTTAGGGTTGGGGTTTAGGTTTATAATTTAGGGTTTAGGATTGTGATTCAAAATTGAAGGGTAAGAGGTTAGTGTAATAGATTGATTAGTTGTAATTTTATGTTATATCATCTTATTAGACTAATACTATCAATTAAAGTTCAAAATTTGATGTATTATGACCACCTTTAGAGAATGCACCCAAAAAGTGAATGCACCGAAGTAGCCACATATATATTGGCTTCTATCGTACCTTGTGTAAAATCTAGAATACGACATATCTTGAGTATGAAAATGCTATCAAGACCTTGGCTTAATCGAATTTTTGGGCATGATACAATACCCTAACCATTGGTGAGTGAACCCTAGGTCTTAGCTATCTAAATCATAGAGCCTAACCCATAAGATTGTGCATGTAATTTGTTGCAATATTTCGACGAATTATAACCCTTGATTTTTTTCATGATTAAATTGATCTTAGTGTATGAGATTTATAGAATTAAGACCTAGATTTTCATCTTCAAGGGTTTGGAAATAGTACTAGATGCCAAACTTCGATCAATTCAAGGTTAGTTATTATTTTCTTACTCAAGGTATGACATAACTTTGATTTTACCCAAAGTACGATAGAAAACACTCGTATATATATGTATATATATATATATACATACATACATGGTGACTTCTATCCTACACCAGACAAAACTAACGGTATATCATACACCAGCAATCTCCACCGTCCGTTTTCATCTCAACGGACAACATAAATGCAGTATTTAATTTTTAATCTCACGAAAAAAAAAACCCGCCCTTTCTATAGGATACAAACAGATTCAATTGATGTTTACCGAATAACACAAACATTATATGTAATACATATGTTCGTAAAGCATAAGGTACTGAACGCTGATGTGTTTCAAGCTAACTAGCATTCATTAATCGTAATCTATCTTCATTGACTTTCATTAAATATACATAACTTAGAAACTCGCATGCACGTGAGGTTATTATGGGTGTAAATTAAATAAGATTGATCAATAATATATACATAAATCTTAATTATATAAGTACTGATACTTAGCTATAGGGTGGGTATATAGTACTATTGATTATGTGTTGGTTAAATGATTTATTTATTTTGTTATGTATAAATTGATGATCGATCTGCGCTTATTAAAAACCAAGAAAGTAACATGTGCGTGCAAGATAGGGGAAAGGGCTGGAAATGGAAGTATCGGTGATATCAACGGAGAACATCAAACCATGGTCGTTAGTAGGAAGTGAGCATGAGTTCAAACCATTCAATTTATGCCTTCTTGAACAACTTATACTCTCCATTCATGTCTCATTCTTCATCTTCAATCACATGAACAATAGTGACCGCCAAAAAAGGTGGTTGCTAGGTGGCTCAAAGTGTTGTTGTCCAAGACCTTGAATTCCTTCTACCCTGTCGCGGGGAGAGTGAAAGACAACCTCATCATACACGGCTTCGAAAAGGGAGTCACATTCGCCGAGTTAAGGGATCGCATTAGGGCTGAACGTGTACCACAAGCTCAGGTACAGGGCGACCACCAGCGTGTTCCTCCACACCTGGGCAGCCAATTGCAGCGGTGATCCTTCACTACAAAATTAAGAAGCTATAGGGACAACAATTAGGGACGACTATTACAATTTGTCTTGGCAAATATGATCTTAAGTAATATAAGGGACAAGTGTATCAAGTCGTCCCCATAAAATAAAAAATAACTTTTTATTAATGTGTAGAGATTTTCAATTGTCCCCAAAAAATAAAGTTTCAGTAGAAACGCACCTATAAGATTGATATGGAAAAAAGATTGTGTGTGATTCACCATTATCACTCAATTTTGATTTGGTTTTTACTGACGGACTTTTTTAACTCTATAATTGTTTAGCGGAGAGCACAAGTTAGAAGTAGAACTGATACAAACTATTTTCTTGATTTTCATCCAGTTAATTATTGGTATAATTTAAATATTGAATTGACCATAGAACAAATAAATTAACATGTTTTTACTAAACAGTGTATACAAATTACTTAGGTTGACCAGCATTCTCAAAGACACGCCTTAAGAGAGAACTAATAGTCCCAACTTGTTAAATATATAGATTACCAGTAGTCGTCCCTGAAAACACAAATTAAGAGACAACTAATTGTCTCTAAAACTGACATAGGTAACACTTAGTCGTCCCCGACGACACAAATTGAGAGACAGTTGATTGTCCCTACAATTTGCATAGGGAACCATTGGTTGACATAAGATGTTGTTACGCGGATTTTCCGGAATAGAGCTTCCACGCAACGTGTGTCTCACGAATCGAACAAATGAACTCGAGAATGGTTTTAGAACGAAGAGAAATATAGATGATGTGAAGGGTAAAACTACTAAGCTATATGGGTTCCAATCTTCTCATATGATTAAACGAAAGACAAAGTACATATTTATAGGCATAGAAACCTCTACATTTTCCTATCTAGAACATGAAACCTCTCCTATAAGGAAAAGATAACTAAATCCTAAACATACTAAAAAACAATCCAAATCCTACTAAGATAATTAAACAATAATAATATCCCAAATAATATGAAATACAATCTAATTAATACCCTACTAAAAATAAATGAGCCCAGAAATTCCTAGATTATTAAGAATGGCTTGTATCGTTAAGAGATGATCGTCCCTGCAAGTTAGAGACACTAACTCATCTTTCAAGGCATAGGCTAAGGGATAATTTGTCATCTTCACAAGTTACATAGAGATAATTCTTCATACCCAAAGCAGTGTTTGTAAGATTCTACTGACTAGCAGTCCAAACAATAAATCCTCCTATTGGAGTTTATCTGATAGGTGATTTTTAGCAGTACGAAATGATCGAACCACAATTTAACATAAAATATCTATTCGTTGAATTTTCGAGTGCAACCTTCTATAAGATTTTACAATCCATGCTAAAAGACAGAAATTAGGGAAACACTAATCATCCCTAAAGATGAAAATTTGTTATCCCCAAGCCACAACATAGATTACAACCACATTCATGTCTAAAAGCCACAACATAGAGTACACATAGTAGTTTAGAAACAAGTATACACTAAACTAGTCAAATAAAAACAGAAGATTATGGACGTGGATCGAATGAAAATTAAAACGCTTAATAATTAATAGTAAGATTCCTCAATTCCCTATTTGAATACGAATTCCTTGGACCAAAAAAAGTAAGAAACGTAGATATATAAACAATTCAAGCTATCACAGCCGTTTATTAGTATATACAGTAATCTCAAACGTCCATATAAATTTAGATAACATAAACCCTAGCTAACATTCCAGACTTCAGCCTTCTCCTTTTCTCGGCCGCATGGTCTTCTTTCCCTTCCTTCTGTCCAGCCTCTGCCTTTCTCACTTGGCATCGACACTCATCATCCCTTGTCCACCCGCGCTCCATTCTCCTCTTCCACAATGGCCGCCCAGAAGTGGTAGGATTTAGATTAGTTCATTTCCCCCCTTGTTTTCGGTCTTTAATACACCATTAGGTTTAGATCTATATTTCTTCAATATGTCTCTTTTGTTTTCTCTTTCAGAATTGACGACGATGAAGTTATAAGTGAGATTGCGGATATTGCTCGGGTGATGTTACGCAGGAGTGGTATATGTGGTGAGTGGTTGCTAGACATGGTTGCGGCGTTACGGTGACGATTGAGAGTGATAGTAGAATAAGGGGCATCTATTGTGATTTTTGTGTAACTTTTTTCCTTCTTCTATTTGTTCTGTTTGTAAATTAATGGTACAAAAAAATTGTCGTGGGGACAATAATTTCAATGTATGATGATTATTATTATTATTATATATCCAATTTTTTATCAGATTAATTGAGATGGTGTGTTGATCCTATAAAGAGAAAAAGAGACATCATATTGTCCCAAAATACCATTTGGCAAAAGCCACCTAATTTTAGACTTCAATTTGAAACATATAAGAATGACATGTTGACCCTAAAAAAAGAAAAGGGAACGATACATTAACCTTATATAGGTCCAACACAATCATGAAATCAATTATGTGGGACAATAGTTTGTCCCTAAAAATAATGTTTAGGGGACGACTTATTGTCGTTACTGTTATAGCTATAGGGACGACATGTTGTCTTTCATTAAAAAAAAAAAGAGACGACGACTTAAAAGTATTGGGGACAACTGTCGTCCCTACTAATAGGGACGACCTAGATTTTGTCGTCCCCAAAAGAATAGAGGACAAGAGTATAGGGAACCACAAATTGGGGACGACTAAGTCGTCCCCAAAAACGGTAGGGACGATTTTCCCTATTTCCGGGGACGACTTTTGTTGTCCCCAAACCTACTCTTTTTTGTAGTGCTTGGATGAAGAAACAACTACAACTATGCAAAGCACTCTCAATTTCCCCTCCCTGGGACTCTATCCCAACTAAGGTCCAAACATTTTCAAACTGGATGTTCTTTAAGGATGCGGGACGACCACTAGGACCGAGCGCATCTCGAAGATTCATATTTGACAAAAAGGCCATTGCGACCCTAAGAACCAAGGTCAAGCTCAAATCACTAACCTGACTCGTCTTAAAGCTCTATTAGCTTTCATTTGGGAATCAACCATGAAAGCAGCTACTGCTACTGACGAGGAGTGGCAACAACCGATGTGCCTCATACAAGGCGTTAATATAAGGTCACTTATGAGCCCACGCTTGTCCAAACACTCCATCGAGAATCTCGTGAGAACTGCTATGGCATTTTGCATAGACAACCCCTAACAAGTCATTGAGTGCGCTGGTGAGCCTCATTAGAGATGGAAACTTAAGAGTTGATGAAAACTACCTCAATGCCATATCCGGCGAATAAGGGTTGACGAGCATGACTGAGGAACAGAAGCACGTCAAGATGAACTACTACTTTGTCAAGGAGCATGTTCAGTCTCAAGAAATTGCTCCTGCAAAAATTGCGTCTTCTGATCAGCCTATTGATATGTTTATGAAGAGATGGAGCATTGATCAGTTTTATCATCTTTTCGTCAAGCTCGAACTTCACGATATTCACTCCTTTGCTTGAGGGAGAGTGTGGTGATTCCTAAATTCTTTAGGGGTCATTTTGTACTTTTCCTCACTCCACGTTGCTTGTGTAAAGTAGTTACTTAAGGTATTTTATTTCATATTGATAGACCGTTAATTACACATGTTTATACCCCTGTTCTTACACCGTTTGAGATGTGATTTCTCGTGTTTTAGGCCGATTTCACGCTAGGTTGTGCTTGTTTGTGATATTTCAGGTCCTAGTACGTGAATGGAGGCTTGGGAGCGAGTTTGGGGTCGATTGGACGAAGATCGGACGCGTGGCGAGGTGCTAAGCAAGCCGCATGGGCATTCTTGGACATCACACGGCCGTGCAACTCACATTTGTGGCCGTGTGATTTTCACCAAGAGCAAACACGGGCAGGATGAAAATCTCACACGGCCGTGCGAACCTAGCCGTGTGGGATGCCTGAATTTCGACTTAAATGATACGATGCGTTTTGACTCACACGGGCAACTGGGTGAGCCACACGGCCGTGTGGCCTGCCCGTGTGAGTCGGGAAATCTTGGTTTTTCAGCCAATTTCGAGCCAAAAGTGGGGAAATCGGATTTTCAGAGCAAAAACAGAGCCCTAGAGAGAGAAAGTGCGAAGAACACATCCTAGAAGCTATTTTGGAGCTGGGTTACATCAAATCGAGCTTGGAGATCGTCATAGGAGTGGAAATCATCATCCCGGAGCAGATTTTCCTCATCTTTATGAGTATGACTACTCTGATTACTGTTTTCTTCTCTCTCTATGGAGTAGAACCCTTCTCTCACTTGGGTATGAAGAACCCTAGTTCCCGGTGTTAGGGATTTGATTGTAATGACTTGGGATGATTATACTGTTTGGTTTTAATCGAATGATGCATGTTTATTGAATTGATTGAAGTCTGATCAGCTTTTCTTGATTTATGCTGCAACCTGAGATAGATAGAATCTGATTAGGTTGTTAGAGCCTCTTCATTCGATAGCAGGAGATTGGTTATACGAGAGTTAGCCAGTTTACTGCTTTGTACTGGAATTCAATTCCAGTAGTGGAGTTCTGTGCTTATTGCTTCAGCTTTCTATCCCGGTGAAGACTAGTCGTCTGCTGGGTAGTTAGACTGAGAGGGCTTGGTCAGCTTAAGAGATTCCAAGCTACTGTCGGATCTTCCGCAGTCTAATCAACAGTAAATCAACCCAGGGTAATTACAATTGAACCTAACTAAGGAGCTAGGGGGACTCATTCCCGAGTGACCCTTTCCTGCTTGAGAAAACCGAATAATTTCCTGCTTTCTTACTGCTTTTGCGTTAAACAACAATCACTCGAATTAGTTGGCTAGATAATAGACAATCACGGAGTAAGCAGTAGATCTAGACCCCGGGTTGATAATAGAACTTGCCTGTTACTACATTCCCGGGCTGCGATTACACTTGGTCGCAGTTTAGTGTTGTGTTTTGGCGTGTCAAGTTTTTGGCGCCGTTGCCGGGGAACCTCTAGGTTATTGGGGAAACATGAGAATTTTTTACTCTAGCTTTTTTTGTTTTCTTTTCCACCCTTGCTTTTCACTTGGGTGTTATGTTTTTGTTGGTGCAGCTCTGAAACATGGATCCTCATGGCTTCTCCAACCATTGGGGGTATCAACCACCATTCGTGTGGTATTACCCCGAGACTTCCTGGAGCAATCAAGGAGGAGAAGACTATGGATTCGGATGTCAGTACCAACCCCCCTACTATGGAGAACAACCAAACCCTTGGGAACCTCAAGAACAATATCCTTTTGAAGAAGAGTTCCTGCCACAACCAGAGGGGCCATCTGAGTTGGAGTTAGCCATGGAGGCCTTCGCGGGTCACTCTGCAGAGCCATGCTACACTTCGCTAGAAGATCCGAACAAAGAATTAAGGCTTCTCGTGTAGCAGTTTGCTCGAGACACTGAGAGAGCATGCTCCAAGATGGATCTTCAAATCCAAGCCCTTGCCTCTTCCGATCCCTCATTGCTCCATGAAATGGAGCAGACTGTTCAGTGCTCAGCGAAGCAAACAGAGTGGGTGAAGCAAGTTTGCTCACATCCTGCTCAAGATCACCTTTCTGCTACTACGCTAGAAGATGTGGAGGCTCTGGTTGCAGATCACACTGTTCCTCATTTATGCTCTAACATGTTGGGCCTGTGCGAGGAGATGCAAGATGATTCCATTGAAGAAATTGCTTGGCGACTTGCTCTCCAATCTGTTCTAGAAGAAGAAGAGCGAGCAAGGATGAGGAAGAAAGTAAAGAAGAGGTGGTTCTTGATCTTTTCCAAGGGGAGAGACCACATTTTGAAGAAGGAAGGGGGGTTGTGGAGGCAATTGGCGTCCAGGCTGAGGATGAAGTTGAGGTGGAAGAGGCTTGCACCGGGCCTATGTTACATTTGATATCTCCACCAAACTTCAAGGAGCTGCTTGGCAAGGACCCATTTGCAGTGTCTCTTTGCCAGACTAAGACCACATCAACATCAATCCCTCTTGGTGGATGCGATGGTGGTCAATCGGATATATCTTATCTGGTTTGGGGCAATGAGACAAGAGCAGACGCGAAGGAGAGGTCTCGAGAGTGGAGACTTCATCTTCCTCAAGGCCACGAGCCATCTTCATCACCTATCACATCACATGCTCGTGACTTGAGACTCCACCTCATTAATGAGAACCTCAACTTCAAGGAGGTTTTGGGGTGGACCGAAACTTAGGAGCCACCGTCTGGCTAAGACGTAAAAGAAGCGCTTGTGGGGAGGCAACCCCACCAAGGTTTGTTTTTCTTTCGTTTTTTTTTTGTCGGTTTGTCCACTTGGAACTATGGTTTCTATCACCCAGTGTGTTTTGCTGATGCTAGCTCCGCTGACTGGTCCACTTCCAGTCCCCCAGCAGTATTTCAATCCGGTAACATCGTTCCCCTTATCTCTCCCTCTACTCCATTGAGGGCAATGTCGTGCTTAAGTGTGGGGGGTGCTTTGTATTGGTTGGAATATATATATGTGTGCTTGGAGCCTAGTCCGCTGTCCGAATCGTACGATTTGAGGGCTCCAAGTACTGCTGTTTGATCATATTGGCACTGTGCTTTGATTGATGAATTGAATGGTTTTCGGATTGATGCATGACAGCTTGATTGTGACTAGGACAACCTATGATGAGGACTGAGAGGTGCAGTAGAATTGTGTAGGGGTTCAGTTCTTTCAACTGTTTGCTTACCAACTGTGACTTGGATTGATCACTTGTTCTTGACAGTCGTTTATGCATCTAGTTCAGGGTATCAGAATGTGAGATAGAGCATATAGGTAGCCATGTGAGATTTGAGCCTGCTCATTTCTTTCTTGTGCGATAGATCCATCTTCCATGATGTGTAGCATTCACGTTGTCACTAGCTAAGATGATGGAGGCATAGGATTAGCCCACGACCAAATTGACTGTCCTGATGTGTCATATCCCCTAGTCAGCCCCTTTGAGCCATGTGTTATCCTTTCTTTTGGTCTATAATGAAAAATCACCCTTTTTGCATCTTTTAGAAGGTTCCACAGAGTGGTTTTTACATATTCTCTGCTGTTTCTACTAAATTTGATGTGAGGGTTGGAGGTAGTGCTTAAAAGTTGGGCAGGTGTTTGAAATATGAGCAGAAGGGGTGGCTCTCTTAAGAAATGAAAAGAAAAAAAAATGAAAGAAAACCAAAGCAAAAATTGAAAGCAAAAGAGAGCCACTACCAAAAATCTGAACAA